GGCTGAGGGCAGCTCACCAGAAGATCATATCGCATTATACAGGGAGAGGAGGGCTTTCTGGGTTTCAGTGGGCAGGTGTTTTAACTTCTCGTATGCCACACAGTCCGGGCTTGGGGTAGATAGATATATTGCAGCAAGTAAGTGAGGCTTGTAGTTCAGCCAAACAGAAAGGTTGATTGTATGCCTCATGTGTAGTGGGCTTGTGCTCTAATCTTTGTTTTTCTATTCTGGTTTTGTATCGCCAGAACGCTTCACTATGGTGTATTGAGCTGGAGACCTGTTCGAAGTGCGCTTCGACAATGTTAGCCTGGTCTTTCAAACTCTTCCCTTGTGTGTTCACTAAAGGAAGTGAATGTGCGTTTCGTCCTGCCACGTTACCAACCAAGTTCCAGACTCTCGCCTGATCTGTGTATGAGTTAATGCCTTATAAAAATTTGTGCCTACTTTCCCTTCTCGCTTGTCGGCGCGTCCTCCTTCCTTGCGACTTGATGTTCTTAAAGTTTACAAGAATCTTGGCTGTAGGCAAGTCTCTAAGCAACTTCCATGCCTTATTTTTTTCGCACATCATGGCACTCATTTAATCATGGGCCTCGTCGTTTGCCTGATGGTCCGCATGTTTCAGAAATACATTTCGTTGCTGCATCAACCAAGAAGGCTGTAAAATAGCACACAGCATCCTCTACACTTAACGCCGCCATGTCAGTCCAAGTTAATACAGTCGTTTTTTTAACTTTTCTCAATCGTCTTTGTCGGTGAGCCATTTGAAAACCTGTGCAGGACATATGTTTGTTATTGATGTGCCGATAACGATAGGAGAATGCTCACTACCGTATCAAATATAATGACTTCTCCTTTAAGTAGAGGCAGGAGTTATGGGGATGTTATGCTGTGGTTCATTGTTGAGTACGTATTGTTAGCGATGTTGTAATACATTGGCTCTTTCTGATTTAGGAGACACGCACCGGACGAAAAAAGAACTGTTCGATCAGGCAACCTCGCTCGTCGCAGCGAGTCACCCCAGAGGCTACCAAGTGCATTAAAGTCCCCTAGGACAAAGTAGGGTTCTGGAAGTTCATCTATGAGGAACTGGAATTCATGCGCTTCAAAATAGTGTTGTGGATGTATGTATATAGATCTGATGGTGACGAGTTTATTTAAAAGAACTGCTCGAACAGCCACCGCCTCAAGGGATGTTTGTATTGGTAGGTGTCTTCATGCAAACCCTTGATTGAGTATAATGGCAACACCACTGGATGGTACAATAGTATCATTCTGGTCCTTTCGGAAGATAACGTAATTGCGTAGAGAGTTGGCGTGTTTTGGTTTCAAGTGTGTTTTTGCACACACAGCACTTTTGATGTGTGTTCGTGTAAGAGCTCCTGGTTATCGTCAAGGTTTCTTAGCAGTCTTCTGACGTTCGATTTTAGTATTTATGTCATTATAGTGTTGTGTGGTGTTGTGTGCAAAAAAGTGTTGCCTGAGGTGACAGGGCTTTTTCGGGGCCCTGCAATTCGCGTTTATTCTGTCTTGGCAGGCTCCAAATAGTTGCGCCTATCCTTCGGCGTCTGAGGCGCCGGAAGAGTCGTACTTGTATCCGTCACTTCTTGTGAGGTGGTGGATGGTGCCTGCTCGGCAGGCACGTTTACAGAACTTTCGGACCTAACTGCTCTTGCAGTGGTCCAAGGTTTAGCAGACACCGGGGTCTGCCGGCCCTGTTTGTCAGGTGGCGGAGCAGTACAGGCTGCTCCAGCCGGGGGCGCTGGTGGCCCGACCTTGGCCACACTGTGTGTGACAATCGCGGGTACAGAAACATGTGGCGCGGCACCCCGGCGCGTCACATCTGGAAAGGAAGGATACGAAGGGTTGTGCAGTGAAAAACGTTCACGTGTCTCTTGAAGTGACAGATTAAGTTCTACTTTGAGTTCTACTATTTGTTTCTCTTTTTTCTATATGGGGCACGATCCTGAGTAGGCTGGGTGATTTCCTTCACAGTTCGAACAATGAGTGGCTTTTGAGGTGCAGTCATCTGATATGTGTTGAGTGGATGCGTATTTTGCGCATGTGGCTCGCCCTCTGCAACTCTGCGATTCCTGCCCGAAACGTTGTCAAGGGAAACATCGACGAGGATTGGGCATATATGGTCTTACACGGAGCTTACAGTAGCCGGTTTCAATTTATTCTCGTAAGTCACTAGTACCGAAGGTGACAATTACGTGTTTGGTGAGTGTTTCTTTCTTGTCTCGTCAAATGATCATTCTCTGTACCTTAACTATATCTTGGTCCTGCCAGCCTTCTAATATTTCGCTTTCTGAGAGTTGAAGGAGGTCATCATCAGAAACGACGCCAAGGACAGTGTTTATGGACCTGTGTGGACCCACAGAAACAGGGGTTTCTCCGAGCTCTACAAGTTTAGGCAGCTTCTCGTATCCAGCTTTGTCACGAACCTCCAAAAGAAGATTGTCTTTTCCCATCGTTGTGACTTTAGAGCCTGGACCTACTGCTTCGGTGAGAATTTTCGACACAAGAAAAGGTGAAATAGTACCTACTGTCTTCTTTTCGTCATGGCTATGAATAACATGGTACTTTCGGAAAGTTAGTTTTGCTGTGTTGAGCATGAAAGTATCTTTGGTGCACCACCTTTTCAGTGAGTGATCAGGAAAGGGGGGGACGCATCTGCCATAAATTGACAGTAAAGTTCGGCAGCGGTGCCAGCCGCCCACCACCAAGCCCAACCAGGGGACGTGGCAGGAGATGCTGGGCAAGTCCTGTCAACGCCAGCTGTACAGCGCTGCAATAACTTAATACGGAATAGCCAAGACTGGGTATCGACAAAAGGTTAACCCTTGCCGCCAGGAAATTTGGAAGTAGATGAAAAAGAGAAGATGACAAGACAGATAAAAAGTCAGAGTAGAGACGAAGATGTAGGGAGAGAGATAGGAAAAGGCGACTGCTGATTTCCCCTTGGCGGGTCAGCCTGCTGGTGCCGTCTACGTGAAGCCGGGGCCAAAGGAGCGCGTTGCCTTTGCCGGGGGGCCTTAAAGGTCCAAGCAACCAGCGTCAGCTCAACCCCCAGGATCCCTTTTTCTCCGGACACGGCTTAGCCACGCACAGATAGGCGTGAAAAGAAGTCAACCTCCCCCCCCCCCCCGTTAGCTCGGGTCCGTGGTTTCGCTACTCACCAAACGCCTGCTTGCGCAAACGCCCCTGTGGGGATCCCTGCAAATAAAACCAATAGAATTCCATCTGGTGTTGTACTTTCAGAAAAATTTTTAGGTAAGCGACACATTAACTGTGTGACTTGCATTGGGAACTACAGAAAACGCAGAAATGTTTTATTCCGCATGGGCCGTTTCCAATTGTTCAGTGTAAGGATTCATGATTTTGGAAGTGCAAGAAATTTCGCTTTGCATAAACACGGAAAGTGTGACAAAACACAAAGCAGAGTGTATCTGATCCACCTTTGTTTATTTTCGTGTACAAAACAAGTGTCACATCCTTGGCTCGTTGTCATGTACAGATGTGCAGCAGCAGTGGGCCGTGCCAGCTTTGAAAACTTATACAAGCCAAGGTCAATTAGTTTATTTTGCCACGTTGGGCAGCCTCCACTGAAAAGCGGTCCAGAGAACATTCAAGCCCAGATTAGGAAATGAGCTCATTGATTCAGCACTAGCAAAGCAAAAAATGCGCCCAGGAAAGCAAGCCCACATTTGCAGCAGCCCGACAGTGCATGCCATCGACAAGATATTCACACAGGTCTGTTACTTGATTAAGTGCGCAAAATCTTCTTTTTTTTTAATCTGTTCAAGATAATGAGAAAACTATCCTGAAAAGTTTCACACTTGAACTGCTCAACGCAAGCGAAATAACCTTTCACCTACAAAATGCATGCCTTGACTTTGCCAAAGCAAACAAAATAGCATCTACTCTTTAGCACAGCGAAAGAAAAAAAGACAATATTTGCAGAAGCATCTGCAGGGAGCTGTAAACATCTGATGAAAACGGGACGCGCAGCTGGCAAGCGAAATCACAGAGGCTGTACTCACGAGAGCATTCTAATGGAAAAGAAGCCACCAGATATGGCGTAAATAGTAAGCCTCTTGCACTTTACGAGTATGCAAGGATAGACAAGGCGTGTGTGAGCAAGCTAGAACTCGTTGTCATTCTGTCTGTGTGTTCACTTAAGGCTACAGCCCGGATGGAATAAGTCAGCTAACAGGTAGCAGCATTTTGCTGAAAGTGAAATGTCTCGTTCAAGGCCAGCACTCTAGCATAAAATTCCTTGTGGATGCGCAAAAGCTTGCACTTATTGTGCGTGATGGTGAAAATTATGCTCTGAAAAAAAATTCACAAGTATTATTCTCAGGTTAAACTGGGAATGCTTCTCTTGAACATGAAGGTGTCTCATTTTATAGTTTATTCCAAAGTTTAGAGCCTGTAATACCTGTGCAGAGAGAATTCCAGCACATGCAGCCACTTGTACAGAGGCTGCAGTATGTTTACTTTAAGAAAGTATTGCCTAAGCTTGTATTGAATAGTAAAGCCTGAAAAGTGGTATTTCATCCTTGGCAGGTACCAATTTAAGCACAGCAGAATGATTAAAGGAACACCTATTCAGCATCTCAGGACACTTTTCCGGAAACAATAAGTTTATTTGACAGTACGCTTGCAATTATTCATTATTGAACAGGTGAATCTCACTAAAAAGTATGTGAAATACAGACATGCTGTGGCAGCTCGAGACATGAGGCGGCGTGTTGCGTAGCTTTAGAACACGTTCGATTCAAGACTAGGGCAGCTTCAAAAGATGACAGGTAAATGCGAGGGTAATCAAGATTTAGGCGCAGGTTAGAGAACCAAAGGTGGTCGAAATATTTTTGGAGTTCTCCACGATAGCATGCCTGATATTTGTATCATCGTTTTGGCATGTGAAATGCCATCAATTACATCAAACACAGAGCAAATAAGCGTTAAGTAAATTAAATAACCGGTTCCAGCAGTACCTGTGGCACAGCTTCTTGTCCGAGACAATGCCGGAACATATGCGTCCGATGAACTCTCCCGCGCCGTAGCACGACAGTAGCAAAGCAGCCTGCAGCTTCGACAGGCCATGGCCCATAGCGTGGTCCACGATGGTCACGCTGAACATTACGAGATTGTAGGCAAACACAACCCCCGTGAATACAATGACGTAGTAGATGGGCCGCCGCAAAAAGCTCAGTTCTTCACTCCGCGAAACTTCCATTCGACCTTCCTGCACATGAAACAATATGAATTAGTAGCACTACCTCATTTTGTTAACCTCACAGTGACTACTTTTTTGGCTTTTTAATGCTGTGTAACGGTTGTTTTTGAATTGGGAAAAACATTACCACGCACATATGCGCATGTGTAATCGATAATTTGGTCGTTTTGGCTGCTGTACTACGTCTTGAGTGTTATGCCAACTTTTTCATATTTGTGCAGCGGATTTGTTATCGCTCACTCAAGGCGGCCTTCGATACAGCGACACAGCCAGTTACAACCGCTGGATACATGAAAACAGATTCCACAAGACACTACATCACTTCATACACAACACCGGTCTAACAGCACACATTTAACAAAAATATGATGCCTTAAAGGCAAGTCTTGACCGCAATAAAAAAAATTTGTTAAACAAGGAGATTTTGGACCCTTATTTTCGACAGCATAAGGAGTAGAGAATAGCCGGGCCTAATTTGTGCGTGAGCAACTTGCATCATGACAATAAAAAACGCACTCGTTTCACACACTGTAATTCCAGAACAGAGCAGCCGGTACATCCAAGGTCGGAATTGTCCATTCATGCAGTAACATTAAGTAATCGCGCATTTAAAATGCAGCGAAGCTGTGTAGTGGCAAATTAAACACAAAGACTTCAACTGAAACAGACAAGCTTCTCACGTACGCTAGTAATGGCCACCACTACCACAAGCTTGCCCGCCCAGCAAGCCCATCATTTACTTGCCCCGTTAAGGAGCTTGGCGGCGGTCTCCCGTTCCGTCCGGTGTCGTGTTGGCCCAAGTGTTTCATCAGGCTTGGCGACGAGAAGCGATCCTGCCACGGCGTTGAGCGTTAGACCACCCACGATTAGTAGCGTGCCACGAAGTGCGTAGTGCTCGTGCATGTGGACCAGTAGTGACGGAAAGATGAACGACACTAGAGTGCCACCCACGTAGCTGATGCCACTGCCGGTGGCGCGGTACCTGCAAACAGGGTGCCGATATGGGTCTGCAAAAATGACGACAAAGATTTTTGGCAGCTAAGCTCTCTTCGAGCAAACTCAAGCTTTTTCATGCAGTTTAGTAGGGCAACAACTACGCGCTCTTTTTTTTTATTTTCTAATCATGTTTGTCTTTATCTTTGTATAAATTATTGCAGCACACTGTGGCTTCCTCAAAGGATGGGCGACTTAAAAAGGCACGGAGTACTTCTTTCTCGTGAGCTTAATAGACCTTCCCAGAAATCGCACCACCACAGCTGCCCCTATGGACCGGCACTGGGAATTCATGGGAAAGCGGAGCGCCGGGCAAGCAGAATCCTGCTTTCACATACTTTCGTCACGTGCCGTGAGTTGTCCTTTGTTGATGGAATATGCTGCTATCGTGAAACAACAGCTACTTCTTAGCTCTTCAAATTTTGTGTTTTGGTTGATGTTATACGCTGCCATTGTAAAACGATGGCTACTTTTAGCTCTTCAAATTTCGTGCACGATATACTTAGATTATGTTGTTCGTCACAAATAGCCGGAACTATCACGGGACATGTCGAAGAAGAAGAAAGGCGGCGGAAAACCCTGCTGTATTTATAGGCGTGTTAGCGACACGCGAAAGACACCGGATGTTTAGGTTTATTGCTTTCCGATGTAGAGTGCTCTTAAAAAAGAATGGATCAGTAGAATTATTCACCGAGGCAACGCAGTGCAGTTTACATTGTGGCAGCCGACAAAACACCACAGCATACGCAGAGATCATTATAACCGGACAGTACAGAAACAGTACACCGATCGCTGTCCTACCATCTTTCCTCAGCGATTGTACGCGGAAATGTGTCCGTTCATAAAAGCTGGTAAGTGCCCATCAACTATTCTCTAGAATCATCGGTGCGGGGGGGGGGGGGGGGGCTCGGTCTTCACCAGGCTGCTTCATGGGTGGCTAAGCATGCCCTGACGCCGGCCGAAATATTCCTCAAGAGCCTAACGTAGGCTCTCTATCTTTGTCAATATACTGAATGATATGGGAGGGTGTAACGTCCCAAAACCACCATATGATTATGAGAGACGCCGTTGAGAAATTTCGACCACCTGGGGTTCTTGAACATGCTCCCAAATCTGAGCACACGGGCCAGCATCATTTGCGCCTCCATCGAAAATGCCTCTGCCACAGCCGGGGTTTGATCCCGCGACCTGCGGGTCAGCAGTCGACTACACTGCGAAAATTTTTACATCCCAAAAGGTGTAAAATGGTTGTACCTATTAAAAGCACTCATATGAACACCCCTTTTACACTTCATTTTTAAAGTTTGAGGTGTTCGTGAATAAAACATTCTCAAAATACCCCATTTACACCCTTCTATTTGGGGTGTTATAAACAAGGCTACAAATTACAAATGATTTATTATTATGTGGTGCTAAACATCCCAAAACCACCATATGATGATTAGAGACGCTGTAGTCGAGGGCTCTGGAAATTTCGACCACCCAAGGTTCTTTAACGTGTACCCAAATCTGAGCACATGGGCCTACAAGGCCACGAATGCAGGAGTTTTTCGGGCAGTTTTGCTTATACTGTCACTAAACATTAACGATCTTGATACCACCAAGGCTCCTATTACTAGCTGCTTGCGGGTCTAGTAATGAATCGAAGCAGGAACTAATGTGACCGAAGCACAGTTTTCATCGATCAAGCACGGAAACTACTATAAGACGGAAGATATAATAGGAGCGTCCACTTGTCCAATAGAGTAAGGGCCAATTCTCTTGTATCTATTCCTTTCATCTGTGTCATTTGCGTGATTAGTCAACACTCACAAAGTGCACTGATTTGCCTAAACAAGGTAATGTTGTGCACATTGGTGTAGCCATGCTTGGAACACTCCCCTTCCTCTCAGCTCCCGTAAGATCGAAGCTTTTAAGGCTGGAGGTAAAACGTCCGCCACCTGCAAAAAAACTACAGAGTTGTTTAGCCATAACAACCACGTCAACAGGCCATCAGGTTCCTTAAAAATTAGCATTGACGTGATGTATTCTTAGCAGGCACGTTTTATTTATTTACTGTAGTGAATGTTCCTCTTCATGTGCCCTTAAAAGTGTGTCATGGGAATTAAGAAAAGGACGCCGGCCATAAACAAAAATACACAATAAGGACATTTCGGTGACATTCATTGACGCAGCCTTGCTCACAATGACGGGAGCCTTCTTGACTCAATTTCGAACAAAGCTGTCCTCGGGGGGAGCCCAAAAGCATTCTCCAGTTTTCTTTCTATCTGTGTTTTTTGTGAATACCTTTTTTTACTTTATGTAACTTCCCCAGCAGACGTGCTTCGGTCAAAGCCTTGACTTTGTAGGTATGGAGAAAGCAACATTGATGAAATATTTTCAGCCACGTCCCCCATAAGATTGAAGCTTTTAAACGTGGAGGTAAAACATCCGCCACCTGCAAAAAAAACTACATAGTTGTTCAGCCATAACCACCACATCGACAGGCCACTAGGTCCCTTAAAAATGAACACCAACGTGATGTGTTTTTAGCAGGCGCGTTTGATTTATTTACTGTAGTGAATGTTCCTCTTCATGTGTTCTGAAAGTGTGTCACGGAAATTAGGAAGAGGACACCGACCATAAAAAATACACAAGAAAGACATTTCGGTGACATTGACGCAGCCTACCTCATAATGACGGGAGCCTTGTTGACTAAACTGCGAACAGAGCTCTCCTCAGGGGAGCCGAAACGCATTCTCCAGTTCTCTCTCTCTCTCTCTCTGTTTATTGTAGATCCCCTTCTTTCTTTTATGTAACTTCCCCAGCACACGTTCTTCGGTCAAAGCCTTGACTTTTTAGGGAGTGAGAAAGCAACATCGATGAAATATTTTCAGCCGGGGTCTTGTTCCAAGAACTGCAAGTTAAGTAGAAATGTATTGTCGCAACGTGAAGACAGAAGAAGTATTTAACAAGTTGAGAAAGTAGCAGCAGGTCAGTATTTTTATTTACTGCACGTCAGAGCGTTCCTCTTTTTTTTTTCTTGTTATTGCTTGCTGCATAAAAGCGTGCAGATGCGCGTATGCGCTGTCGTCTTCATCTTGCTAGCAGCACGCCCTTGCCAATATGTTCTCAACAAATAGTGGGACGGCCGATGCATGCATTGTTGCAATGTCTTAACCGAAATGAAAGTGCTGATAAAATATCGCCTGCGTGACCCTGAATGTGCAGTCCTCTAAAGACCCATAGAGCTAAGCAAAAGCATCAGCTTAGCTTTTTTACCAGTATTTACTACATTACTTTGGTGAAGGTGCTCTAAATATTGCTCCTGAATATTACAAATGCGCGTTCTGACTAGTAGCTCATGCTGGGCGCACTGCACCGTCACAATGTTCACTGCGGTTCAGATGCATTGTTGAAGAACGAGTATAACGCAACAGATCACTGCCGCAAAAAAAGAAAAAAGCTGCGCCCGCGCTCTCAATAGAGAGCCAGAGCTAGCGTTAAACTGCATCTAGCCGGTCTGAGAGCGCACCGGTGCCATGAAGTCTCGTCGCCTAGGACAATCTTGGCTGCCCGCGATTGCTTCGCGCGTGGGCGCAGAGGCACGAGAATTGGGACCGGCATCGTCTTACATGTCAATGCGTGCGCTGGCGAAAAACCCTCCCGTGTGTGTGCGTGTGGCTTCTCGATCGGTAGAGTTTATCAGTCGGTGTTTAGTTTGAAATGTGCCTGAGCTCTGGGGTCAACCTGTGTGTTCTGTCAGTGCTGATTATTACGAAGGTGCTCCATCCTGAAGACTGGACCTGCGGGATCATATTGTGGAGTACTCGAAGTGAAATAGTGAGTACTGCTCTCACGTTATTCTGTTCAGCGCTTTGTTAATGGCGTGAGCCAAAACGCCTTCAAACAATTTTGTTTTCAACTAGTTGAGTACAAATCAGCATTTGTTTACTTAGCGAGATTATTTGTCCGAACTGTTTCATGAGGATGATGGCGAAGTGTGATTGTGGGCAAGTTTTTTTTGTTTGTTAGTTTAGATTGTTTGCTGTACAAAGCAGAGTGAGCGTGCGCCGCTGAGGTTCAGCGAAAACATTGAACAGATTTTTGTGGTGCCCTTTGTGGGCAGCCATGTTTAACGGGGCCCGCTCGTGGTGCACATTAATTTTAGTTTTCTAATTAATACATGTCTGGGGACGGCGTCTGTTAGCCCTAAGCATCAACCATATCTAATACGCATATGATTAGGCTAGGCATCATTTAGCTACTACCAACAAGCCAGTACCAGCAAGCTTGTACCAACAGGCTGGTGCCATCAGACTAGTAATAACAGGCTGGTGCCATCAGGCCAGTACCACCAGGCTGGTGCCATCCAGCCAGTACCATCAGGCCCGTACTAGCAAGCCAGTACCAGCAGGCCGGTGCCAGTAGACCAACACCAACATGCCCAAATTACGTATTTCGTCAGACCAGCAGCCTACAGAAATTTCCAATAGGGTGGGGCTTGTTGGTAGTTCATTTGCTCTCTTTTTTTATTATTGCACAAAAAGACCGAGAACGAAAAATAAGGAGTGGTGTCCATGTCGTACTTTTTGGTCCTTTTTCGTTTTCTGGGCTAACTACTACCGTGATAAATCGGGTTGATGCATCGGGTGACAACACAGCGTATTGCTTCACGTTAGGTGCGCCTCGCGAAGTTTGCCTGCTTGCTAAGACATTAATTTTGTTAAATTCATCTTATTCGGTATTTTCGTTAAACCGCAACGTAGCGTGTCACTTCCGACAGCCGTGCCTGTGTAGCTGATTGAGCACTGAAGCTGGACTTTTGTTTGAACAGACCTTTCGTCTGTGTGTGTGGCCGAATTGCCTACTTGAACAGGTGCAAATGCTTGTTTGAACATAACTGTAACGTTCGAGCACATTTTATTCCGCTTGTTTTCATCATGTGTAACTTTCATACTATTCTTGTTATTCGGAGTTTATAATGACCTCGCCTCGCTTTGGCGCTTA